TACAGTGCAGCTGTGCTGCTCAGCCAGAGCATCCCTCCTGGAGAGACTCAAAGCATTAACCTCAGTACCTGTTCTGGCCTCCTGCTTTTTCTTAGGTGATATAGTGAAAGCACACTGTAGCCAAATTTGCAATGCTTAGTACTTACAGATTTACTCTGTGTTCACAAGCCTTACTGTTTTGGAAGCAACTTACCCCATGTGTTCCCCAGCTCGGGTGCATTATAACACCCTCAGCTCTTCGCTGCTCTCCCACATCTGTTTTTCTGTCCAGTGTACTTTTTATGTCCCATGAGCTCTAGCATCTGTGATGTATTTTAGAGCAATTTCAAGTTCAGCATTGCTTGCCCAGGTCATACTCTTCCTGGAGATTATCCCACAGGAAGATGTGCCTTCATGCAATATGATCTCCCGAGAGCTTAGCAATGCAACAGATACAGAGTGCCAGGACTGCCTTGTTTTATTTATTTGAAGTAGATCTGGTTTAGCTGCCAATATGCAAGTGTTGTTGTTTTTACTTCTTTGCATAATTACCTAGCTCTGGGGATCCACAAGGAAATAAGGTAGGAACAGTTATTTAGCCAAAGGGAGGCAATAGCTGCAACTGATCAATATGACATGGTTGCTTACTAGCTCCTTGGTTTTCATGTATTTCCTGTGACGATGTTAGAAATACTGAACAAAGGTTAGTTTCATGAGATTTAACTGAAATAAGGATTTCAAGAGATGTTTCCCAGAAAACACCAGTGTGTACTAATGAGAAAATGCCAGATTTCAGCTAATTTGTAGAACAGACACATTGTTGTTTCTTGCTGCTTTGTCCCAGGTTACCACAGCGGCTCTCACCTAGGGAAGCAGAGCAGGATGCATCACTCCCCTGTGCTCTCAATTAAGTTTCTTCATGCCATTTGCAGACATATCACATGGAGACAGTAGAAATCAGATATTTATAAAATCATATTTAACTCATTACCTTGTGTTTCAGCTGAGAATTTTGGGATTGAACAGTAATTCTGACCTTGAAAAGGGTTGTCAATGCCTGGCAACACAAGGCTGTGGGAAGCAATAAGAGCAGTCAGCCATAAGGAACTGAATTTCATCAGGGTGGTGTGTAAATATAATTAAAATGTCAGAGAGCTCAAATAAACATCAGACTCTTGATGGGTTAGTTCAGCTGGATGTGGCAAGAGAAATTCTCAAAGCTTATGTTGCTGTGTATTGTTGCAGATTCACCTGCTGTTGACCAAAGGGTTTGAGGACTTGGCACAGGACAGGTGGCATGAGGATCCATGCTGGATTTCTGGGGGCATGTGCCCTGTTGGGGAAGGCACATGCTACTGTCCAGAGGTTGAGACAACAACAAAACCTTCATTTAACTTTAGCCTGGGTTTTATACACCATGCTTCCACTGGGGTGGCTGAAATGAGGTGGAAGCCTCTCCTGGTCCTTTAGAGAAACTTATTTTCATCTCACCCCTTGCACTTCTGTATTCCTCCTTCCCACTGTAGGCCATTGGACGCCCACACATGCCAGCCTACTGGTCTCTGGGATTTCAGCTCTCCCGCTGGGGTTATAACAGCATCGATGTTTTAAAGCAAACTGTTGATCGCATGCACCACTATGATATCCCATACGTAAGTATGAATTTTTCACTGTGCATGCTAATTTTACAATCCAAAGGGAGGTGAATAAGATTATAATAGATGAAAAATAGTTAGCCTGCAAAGAGAATTGTATAAGAAAAGGATGTTCATAGTCTTATGTAGTGGTTTTGCATGCAATGTCTTTATAATACTCATAAGAACACTTAAAACAGGCTTCGGGCATGAGATTTAAGTGCAGCTCTTGGCAGCATAGCAGGTGATTCTGGTGTGGATTTGCTGTTTTGCAGTATGAGGTACTAGCATTTTAAAAATAAGTTATGGTACTTTTGATGCATTTCACTGCAAAACAGTTGCTGAAGTAGGACCATTTTGTCTATTACTGCCATGTAAGTTTGTAGGAGCTGAATTTGGCCTGACAATTATTTACTATTATTATGGCCAATCTCTTAGGTTTCATTTCTAATGCTAGTTACCTTTTAGAAATGCAGTTGCATCTAGTTTGATTTTCTGTATCAAATACTTAAATCATAGAATCATAAAATAGTTTGAGTTGGAAGGGACCATTAAAGGCCATCTAGTCTAGCCCCTCTGCAATGAGCAAGGATGTCTTCAACTGTGTAAGGTTGCTCAGAGCCCCATCCACCATCTCTCTGGGCACTGTTCCAGTGTTTCACCACCCTCACTGTAAAATATTTCTTCCTTATGTCTAGTCTGAATCTTTCTCCTCTTAATTTAAAACCATCACCCCTTGTTCTATTGCTACAGGTCCTACAAAAGAAGTCTGACCCTGTCTTTCTTGTAAGCACCCTATAACTATTGAAAGGCTGCACAACAAGGTCTCCCCAGAGCCTACTCTTCTTCAGACTGAACCCAAACTCTCTCAGCCTGTCCTCATAGCAGAGGTGCTCCAGCCCTCTGATCATTTTTGTGGCCTTCCTCTGGACTTGCTCTAAATGTCCATGTCTTTCCTGTGCTAAGATCTCCAGAGAGGGATAAGATTCTCATCTAATGTTTAATTTTCAAATGTTTAGGATGTCCAACATTTTGATATCGACTACATGGAACGTCGCCTGGACTTTACCTATGATAAAGTGAATTTTGCCGGTCTGCCAGAGTTCCTCAAGGAACTGAAGAAGAAAGGAATGCACAATGTTGTGATTCTGGTAAGTTAACAGTGTTGCCAGCTATTTCTCCATTTGTCAGACCTATTCACAGCATAGTCTTCATAGCAGTATCTAGGTTCCAACATGCATATACTACTTGTATACTTTGTATAATTACTCTGTCACAATAGCTAAGTGAGTACCAGTGGTGGGAAGGAAATTTGAGAGCAATTATATTGAAATTTAAATAAAATTTTAAATAAATAATTATTTCTCCATTTGTAAGAACTATTCACAGCATAGTCTTCATAGCAGTATCTAGGTTCCAACATGCATATACTACTTGTATACTTTGTATAATTACTCTGTCACAATAGCTAAGTGAGTACCAGTGGTGGGAAGGAAATTTGAGAGCAATTATATTGAAATTTAAATAAAATTTTAAATAAATTAAGAAATTAAATAAAAAACCCATGATAGATTCAGAAGAACTTGTTTTCCACGGTCCCCCAGAGCACAGCACTAGAAGGGGTGCACCCCCCAGCACAGCTGCAATTCATTCTCCATAACCACTTGGGACAAGATAAGAAAAACACTTTAAATTGCAGTAGGATAGATTTAAGGTGGACATCAGGGTAAAGCTGCCTGTCTGCAAGGTGAGCCCAGCAGGGCCAGGGATTGCTAGGCCTGGGTCCCTTCCCAAGCAGGTGCTGTGAACAGATCTGACAGATACATTAGGGGTGGCTCAGGCTGAGCTCACCCACAGCCACAGGATGAAGAGGAGGAGACAATCCTACAGAGTCTCTCTCAGGACTTTTTGCTGTAATTACAGCCATCTATTTTCCAGCATAAATGGCTGGTTTACACCTTTCATTTGGATGCTGCTATTCTTATTTACCTCAAACTGCTAGTCTCTCATCCTTCTACTTTATTTCGTTTCCTTCTTTTATACTCACTGCTTTTGCTAGGCTAAAGAAAACTGAAGTATTTTATTCTCTTTTTATTGGGTGAGGTCTTCAGATCTCCTTGCAGTCTCTCTCCCCCACATGTCCCCAGTTTGAATGCATTTGTGTGTGTAGTAGATAACTGGATTTTGCAGCACTCCAGATGATTCCCCCACAGTGTTTAGAGAACAGCAGAAATATTTCCTTCATTCTGCTAAAAATTGCTTCCTATGACAAAGCCCTGCATCACATTTACCTACATTATATTGGTGGCTCATGCTTGTATGGAGACAGGTTAATCCAACTGAATCATAATGGACAGGCTGCTAATGTTTGGGCCCTGAGTTGATCAAGTTCTTTTAAAATACGGGCCATGTTCCTCATCTTGCCCCGGGGGTCCTGTCAAGGGCTTTTGGAGAGGAAAACTGAATAACAGAGTCCTAAATTGTGGTACAGTTCCTTTTTCACTTGTTGTGGTGTATCACATGTTTATATCTTGCTTATCTCAGTCAAGATAAGTGAGAGCTACTGCAGTTTCCTCATCTAAAAGTCACGTTATCTTGTCAAATAGATAGATTAAAGCAGAAGTGCCTCCTTGCCCTTACTTTTTCCTCCACAATTTGTTGTAAAGTTTAGCGCATGACTGAGGATGGACCACAGATACCAGTGGTTTCTTTTTAAAATAGGGTTATGAGGTTTGCTGTTCTTCAGTCTGATGGAGTGGGGTTTTTTGATAGCTTCTTTGTAAGTATCTTCTCTATATTTATTACTTCCCTTTGTTGTACTATAATTGCATTTGCTGCTAAGAAACTCAAACAAAACCGCACAGCCCAAGTAATCAATTGCATATTGATAGTGGAAGTAGTAGTCTATATAGTGAGCACTGTTTGCTAGCAATTTGTCCTTAGAGATACATTCCACTAAACACTCCATTTCTTCTGCAGCTACAAATTATGGAAAGCTCCAAGGTGCAGCAGTGAAATCAGTTTCCATCTGTGGAGAAAAACTCCAAGGTGCGGCAGTGAAATCAGTTTCCATCTGTGGAGGTCCAAGACACAGGGTTTAAACAGTAACAGATTACTAAGTCACTCTGATGGAGAGCAACTTAAGATAATAATAGCCCCAAATTAACATCCTTGTAAATAACCAAACAGTAGGTGAGCACATGTGTTGTCAGGACAGAGTACTCTTTCCAACTCTTAGGCAGTTCAGACTCTCTGTATCCTCAATGCTGCTGTAAAAAGTATCTAGACTCTTCAAGGTGTAATACTAAATACCACTTGCCTATTTTTCTGGTTTATCTCAAAAAATTTGTGAAACAAAAATATACCAGCAAAATACCAGGAGTTTGGGGTAGCTCTTTGCGTGCAGCCTTTCCTGCCGGTAAATACATGGTAGTCACCTCTTTTTTATCAATGTCAGGATGTTCACAGTTGTTTTGCATTTGCTACTGAGTAAGAAGCTACAGGCAAGGAGTTGTGGTTCAGTGGGTGAGGCATATTATCTACTTACGCATGAGTTTAACTTCTACAACATTTTTAAAGCCCTATCAGTTTCTCACATGGCACATTCTACAGCAGAGCAGGGAGGTGTTGCTATATAAACTCAGGTATTATAGACAGATGCAAGGAGTATAACAACAATTCTTACTTTATGCAATGAGCTAATGGGAATCCAGATAGGAAGTTCTTCTTTCCTTCTTCCACTAATCTCTAATTAAGAACTGTCTTCTGCTCTAGTTCTTGTGAGCCAGTTTGTCCTTCATTATTTAAAAGCTAATGCAAAGTATAGGTTGCACTGCTACTGAAGGTACTGAAATTTTCTATTTTCACTTTACTACAGTTGCTGACATCTCTGTCAAACTCTGACTGTTAGCATTTTTTAGTGATGTAAAGCATTCCCATAAGTTGAATCAAGAGCTGGAACAGTATGAAGTGTTTCATTCCCAAGTGATAGTAAAGCCAAGTCAGCTGCAGTCAAGGCAAGTATAATCCAGTTTGATACCAAAAGAACAATTTTCTACTTAGATTCCCTTTGCATAGTGACAGTAATGGGTGAGTTTGCCAAGTGTAGCAGACTGTTGCCTCCCTTGTGATGATTTCAGGAAATGGGCTCTGACTTCAGTTGCTTAGTGTCATGTAAAACCTCTGCTAAATGGATTTGGAGAGATGAGTTCAGTCCTCCTCATCTCAGACTGCTATGGTCACAAGCAAAGTGCAGAACCTGGCACCCAGCAGTTTTAACACTGGTAACCTGTCTGAGGATGGGACCCTGAACTCACTCATGCCACCATTGCTGGGGTGACCAGTGCCTCACCATCAAGAGGTCTGGTCCCCATTCTTGCATCCAATACTGAGAGACCTCCATGCCTATGGCCACCTTGATAGTGGCATGGCTTCATTACTGGAGCATAAAAGTGCAATCCTTCAGCTCTCCTCTCTCCTGATCTCTTTCAGAGACCACCTTCATTTAAGAGAAATTTTGACTAAGAGTGTCAGTACTTGGTCATCATTATTGCACTAAATAATGTTCATGTTTCAGCTGTGTCAGAACAAATATATTCTTTAGAAACAAAGTAGTTCAAAAAGTAACAATGACTACAATGAAAAATGAGAAACATTATTACCGAAAAGTAGCTTTAATGAAAGACCTTGTATACCTTCTATTAAATCACCCTAAAAACAGAAACAGCTAGGAATGACATGAGTGACTTAGACATGACATGAATGACATGAATGACATGAGTATTTAGAAGTCAATAGCAATGTGCTCATGATTCAAAATAATGCTTGATAGGTTTAATGCTTAAAAGTCTAGCTCTGTGAGCTGTAGAAGCTGAAATTTCTGGAGGTGGGTTTTTATGGATGCATGTCAAAATCTGTATTTGCAGCCACAGATGGAAGTGCATCAGTCTGTGTAAGTGCTAGCTGCTCTCATGTCTCTGAGCAGTCAGTTGGAGTTAAGGATGCGCAGCACCTCCTCTCCAAGAGCTGCTAAAAAGATGAATTAGGGAAGGTTTCACAGGCATGAACCTCCTCCCCCACAAACAACCTTTGAATGCACAGAGGAGTTTTGTTGTCTTTAGGACAATACTAAACCTGCATAATATATTAGATTTATGCACTGGAATAACCTTTCAGCTGAAGGAAACCAGAAGTTTGGATTAGGAGTAGCTAATTAAGCTGACTTCTTCCACCCTTCAAGTCTCTTGAGAGACATCTTTTCCACAATTATAAGATAATTATTGCAGATGGACAGTTTTCTCTTTTCCAAAGCTGGACTATTAAACAAGTTAAAAATGTAATGGACACTTATACTCTTTATGGAGGTGACACTGGAGCGAGATAGTTAAAGTTAAGCAGAATTTTGCACTTTAAGTAGGGATTTAGCTGTAGCTTGTGTTTTTGAGGCATGGAAGAATATACTTTCCTCCCCAGGGCTAGAGGCATCAGAGGGCTTACAAGTAAATCAGGCAATTAATTCAGGTATTTAAAGGAGCTTTAAAACATGCCTTTAAAGAAACTTACCACTTGGGGTCTGATGAGTTTTGTTCTTAAGTTAGACTTCTATCACATTTTAATTAAAGTTCACAGAAATTATTGCACAATCTACAATTGTATGGAAGAATTTCTTCAGTGGTGTTTTTCTCCACTGTGTTTCATAACTGAAAGATTTTGCCTACAGCAGAACCTGGGGGAATAACATTTTCTAAGGAAAAAGTAAAGAATCCCCCTCTTCTAAAAAGGCTGTAATCTTCCTCTGTTCTAAACAACACAAAGCAGATAGCTGCTCCCAATTAGGAAAGTATCGCAAAGTGCACTTATCTCCTTTTAGTTGCAGCTGACTGCTGAGCAGAGCTGAATAGCATCTCTTCATTCATGGCATCTTGTAGTACTCCTAACTTCATTACTTACCAGCATAGTGGGTCACCATCATCCCCAGGAGCAGATCAGGCTCCCTTTTGACGAGCTTGGTGTTTACTGATAGCCATCCTGAGGCAGAGAAGTTCTTGATGTCAATGCCACTGGCAGCAATGGGAGGTGGTGACCACCCCAGGCAGTGAAAAGGGCAGTAAGGATGAGCTATGGAGTCTAAAATGCTGTGGGAGTCTCAATGCCCTGGGAGAACAGAGGTGTATAGCCCTACAGGCAGGTGGGAATTGGGTTAGTCTACATCAGACTGGCAAAAAACACCATTGTCCTACACTGGATCTGAATGGAGCACTAACGAGGTTCTTTTGAGGTTGGATGTGTCCCATCTTCAAGTCTCTTGAAAAGTTTTAGTTATTCCAGCATTGAGCTATTGATGTTGTGGCAGCTGGAATAAGGATTTCCTTGGAGGAAACCCAGAGGTGCCAAGTGTGGGAAGGCCCAGCATAGCATCCACCCATAGCAGAGACCTTGGTGCAGAGGTAGGGTGGGGAGTAAAATCTAGTGCCTATCTAAAATATTTTGAACATAGACTACCTCATAAAAAATAAGCATGAGGGTATTTAACAATTTTACATTGATTTTGCCTTATGCAAGAAATATTCATTACATATCTTTAATGGCTTATTCTAAATTATTATGTGCTCTCAACTCTTATTAGATTTTAATGCTGTTTCCTTCCAATATTTTTGCAATCTGCATTATGAACATAATACAAATTTTTTAAAAATACTCAAATAGAAGAGTAATTTTTACCTCTGGGATTTCAGTAATGGAAGTGTAATCGCTGTTTTCAGGACCCTTTCATAACCAAGGATGAGGAGCCAGGCACTTACAGACCTTATGATCTTGGCCAGGAAATGGGAGTCTGGGTGAACAACTCTGATGGCATTACTCCTGCTGTTGGGAAGGTGGGTTTATTAAATACTCTGATGCATTTGGTCTACTGCTGCTTCAAAATGATAGAGTAGCTGTGCAGCAGATATGAGAAAATAACCAGGATTTACCCCTGTGACCCCTAGGCGTGGCCTCCCGGAGAGTCTGTGTATCCTGACTACACCAACCCCAGGACAGTGGAGTGGTGGACCAAGTTGTGCCTGGAGTTTAAGGATGTCCTTGACTACGATGGGATCTGGATTGTATGTCTCATTATACCTGTCCTCCCTTCTTTTAAAAAAGAAAATGAAGTTTTTGACATGTGTCTCACTCTCTTTATTAAAGGATATGAACGAACCATCAAATTTTGGAAGAGGCCAGAATCCTGGGTGTGCTGATAATGAAATCAATAACCCTCCTTACATTCCTAGTAAGTAAAATATCCTTGTCAGTCTTCTTCTTCTTTATTTTTTTTTTAAAATCCTGGATAGGCTATATTTTAGGAAAAAGTAAAATCCATCCACTCATTTTCCTTCTTCCCTGCCTTTTGCATGTGCTCAGTTACAAATTTGTTCAATATTCTGCATCAAAGAATGGGAAAGATACCTATGTACTGTAACTCAGCTACAGATTTATGACAGGAATTACCAACCCCTCTGCCTTACCATCACCACTGCTAGCCCCAGAGATGAGCAGTCTCTGCTTTCCCCATAAACCATGACAAGGAAGATGGCATCTCCCTGATGCATTAATTCATGTTTCCTTTCTCTTAAAAAATAAATTTTCACTGTGTTACTAGAAATTGGCTAAACATGAGTTTTAAAATGTCCTAGCTTATGGGAGACTTACAGGAATGGGAAAACATCTTCCAGTATCTGAGCTGATGACATACTCGTTCTTCCACAGGAAGCCATTAATACTTACAATTAGCACCAGTGGTCCTGGCAGTTTTTCCAGCCAACATTTCCCCAGGAAAGCCCAGCTGCCTGAGCATTGTTAAAATGCAGCAGGAAGTTCATACATAGTTATTGACATTGAAGTATTGGGAATATCCCCTTTTTCCCTTCAGACTTTTATACTGTCATGTGAATTCTTGATTCATTTCTTTTAACTCTGAATATAAGAGAAGCATAAACATGACAAAAGCATGACAAAGTATTATAAAGAGATCACAAATAATCGAAAGCAGAACTTTTAGTTACAGTTTTGGTGTTTGCTCTCTTTACTGGGAAACCACTGATTGTAATTGTTGCATATCGGCTCTGTGAGCCTTAACCAAAGCCCAGGAACTGGTGAGACATTTCCTTCTTTGCCTTAGGTTACCTTCATTTTTTTTTTCAGCTGCCAGAGCTGCAAAAAAAAGGTCTAAGACTCTGGGGAAAACATCCAAAATGACAGAGCTCCCTTTGCCTCACAAATAAAGGACTGAGGGTTAACCTATACAGAGGCTTCTGAGCCATGAAGCTGAGTTTTGTGATAACTAGTGTTGAAGTCTGAGCCATTAGAGGAGTCAGATCTAGAGACCTGGATATCTATGTGACTTGTAAGGACACTGAGAGATGCTGATGACAGGTGTGTTTTGAGCCCAGTTTGTCTCTGTCTTGCACCAACTCATGCACATATGCGCCTACTTCTGCTTGCAACTCACAGTGTTAGAATCATACCATAGAATCATAGAGTGGTTTGGGTTGGAAGGGACCTTCAAGACCATCTTGTTTCAACCTCCTTGCCATGGGAAGGGACACATTCCACTAGATCAGGTTGCTCAAAGTCCCAACCAACCTGGCCTTGAACACTTCCAGCGATAGGGCATCCACAGTTTCCCTGGCAACCTGTTCCAGTGTTTCAGCACCCTCACAGTAAAGAATTTCTTCCTTATATCTAAGATAAACCTACTCTCTTTCTGTTTGCAGCCATTAACTCCTGTCCTATCACTCCATGCCCTTGTAAAAAGTCCCTCTCCAGCTTTCTTGTAGGTCCCCTTGAGGTACAAGAAGGCTGCTCTAAGGCCTTCCCAGAGAACTCCCTGCCATTGGTCTCCCTTCTGCAGACAGAGGCCTGAAGCATTTTTTCACTTTATGCCAACACTGTGCATGCTCTTGACTTGTCCAAGCCTACTGGTGCAGATGTGAGATGCATCCTAAGCTGCTTAGTCCAACAAGACATTGGAAACTTCCCGGGGCTGGCAGGGTTTTGGGAGCTCACTATTGTCTCACGTAATTTCATTTGTGCAAGTCCCAGACTCATTGCCTTGATTTTTGCCAGTGTAGCCTTCAACCTCCTTATCAAGATTTTATAACCACAATTACATGTAACCATGATTTGAACTCCTAAAAACAGATGTCCTTCAAATGAATTTTCTATAAAACACTTTATACCAAAGATTAATTTGTAATTGTAAAATAATCAGTATTATTGAGGCAGAATACAAAACACTCAGAATAAGAATGAAGCATGAAAATATGACTCATGTGTCAGCATTTTCTTTCATATCCCATCTTAATTTTATGGGGCTAATAATCAAGTGCCACTGGGATATTAAGTCTGACTTTCCTCATAACCTTAGTGTCTTCTTCAAAGACATATCAGCCAAAGCTGCTTGGAAATTGCCTATAAATGATTTCTGATGTAGATCAGCCACACTGGAGTCTTTGTGTCTAAAGATCCAAACACAAGGATTCCAGCTGTGGTGGCACAGCAAAGCAAAGAGGCCAATGTGGTTTCAGGTACAGAGAAATGCACTTTGTGGTAATGAACTGCAAACATACAGTAAGTGCAATTAGGTAAGGAGATTGCTTGCTGATGGAGGAATATTTACAATAGTGCATGCACCTAATTAAGCATGCAAAGAAAGTATATTTGAGAGTCTACCTTTTGGGGTTCTTCGAGAGGATTTTATCCAGGCAGCATCTGTGTAGCCAATTTGTGCCTCATCTTGCTTCTCCTTGGCTCAGCTAAACTGATGCTGTGCCAGCAATGTCGCAGTTACCTTGACTGTTACTAAAGGCAAAAAGTTACTGCAACCTCCACTGCCTGTGACCTGCTGATAGACAGAGTTACTGGATATCCATCCACATGTGAATATACCTTACTATAATCTGTCCTGGCTCTCTTCTGTGTGGCTTATCCAGCCATAGCCACCTACAGCCTGCAGACTGTTGCAGCTCATGCTTTTTCCTCCCCTGCATTCTTCCAGCATTTTCCATTCATCACTCTCAGTGCTGGTTGGGACTGTGCCACTTGTCCTGCTGCCTTCTAGTCCTAGGTAGCTCAGGGCAAGAGTGGGGCCAGAACTGAGCTTAGCTGGGAATTTTGCCATGACAGGGCAGAATCGTGCTGCCCACCTGCATCTGCAGCTGAGTGATATGGACACTGAGGTTTTAGGGTTTCACACAACCATACATCCCTGGTTGTGTGAAACCCTAAAACCCTGGACATCTGGATTTCTGTTGTGGGGTTTGTTTGTTTACTTGTTTTCATTTTGTGGGTTTTGTGTCTCTGTGTGTGTGTGTGGTGTTTTGCTTGGTTTGCCTTGGGGTTTTTTGTTTGTTTGTTGGTTTGTTTTGGTTTTTCCTTGCAATATTTTTGCTATTAAGTAAAATTTGCCACTGTGTAAAATAATATGTAGTTGTGTTCTCAATTCAATAATGCAGATCTTTTTCTCTGACTATTACTTACTGAATGCGTGATACCTGTACAGTTATTTTGAATTGTTTGGCATAAAAATTGAAATTAGTTATCAGTGTTTGCTCAGTTCCCACCTGCCCCCTGAGGACACACGTACCAGTCTGCCAGCAGCTATTCATGGCTACACTAACCTCAAATCAGAGCAAGTCCAGCACTTCAGGTTTTCCTCTTCCCAAATCCTCTGGTGTTTTCACACCTAAATATGTAGAAAAGTGAAGAGATTTGAATTGCAATGTATGTGATTTTACAGTGTTTTGTATCATCCTCAGAAATTTCTGATCGTGCCCTGGCGGAAAAGACATTGTGTCCTGACTCCAAGACTTACCTTGGAGAGCATTATAACACACACTCTCTCTTTGGCTGGTCACAGACAAAACCAACTTTCGAGTAAGTTTTTCTAAGTATTTCTAAGCAGATTTCAGGTGATTGAAATACATTTTAAAAGCTACCAATGTTAGCGGGAAAATCAGTAATAGTATCAAATAAGAAACAACTCCATGTTTCATTTTACTGTTTCTCATTTAGGAAGAAGTTTCAAGAAAAGAGAATCTTGAAAGAAGGAACAAAATCTTTTCCGATTGTACTTCTTTTAGCTACATCAGACTCTAGGTGTAAGGCCTAACTATTCAGCTTCTGCTTTTGTATATCTAGAACAAGATGCTCCTGTCCTCTCTTAGAGCGTCTCATGAGCAGCTGCAGCAGAAGCAGCTTTGTGTAGTGGCAGGGACATTTTTCTGCCCCTTGTTATTGTGGCAGAGGAGTTTCTATTGCTGTCAGTGAAGGATCCCTGGCTGCCTCTGGTTCCTGGCAGGCAGTGTTTTGCAGTTTGGCTTGGGGCTCAGTCAGTTTAGGAGAGCAAAGCTGCATTGCAGCGCAATTGCTGTCAGCTGCTATAAAACCCATTTTGCAGATGGAAAGCACTCAAAACTAGCTTATGCAGGCAGACTGTTGCTGTGAAGCTGAAGTGACCATGGAAAGCTAGTTACTGGATTAAATCAAATGGGCAAATCATGCCTTTTCCAGCAGAGATGGAGCTAAAACACAGGGAAGTTTAATACCCCAATGGAAGTGCCAAAGCAGGGATCCGTGTGTTGGCCTGTTTCTGGATTTAGCTCCCATTTTCAGCAGTGGGTTTGTGATAGCATCCAGAGGACATGGCTAAGTGAGCCTAGTTATGGTGTTGATGCACTTGGATTTTAAATACCAAGCCCAGGGGAAGAAAAGCACCAAGTAAAAGCCAAAGCTGTTTGCCAGCTCTCAGGGGTCTGGCTGACGCGTAGTTCAACTTCTGAGAGAAGGACTAGAAAGCCCTCAAGCCCTGTATCTCTAAGCATGAGGTTTGGGCCCCTGTGCCCCAGTCTCAGAAAAGATCCTCAAGTCACAGGTCTCTCTGCTGGAATTTGTTCTCTGCATGCAGGACTCTGTACAACCATACACTGTTTTGGAAGCACTGTGAATAGAGCCTTCAGATTTCCTATCTTCTTGAGCTGCTTTTTTTGCTTTATTCAGGCTCTGTTCCAGCAAGGCCAATTACCTGAGAAAAACCCTGTGAATTCAGCA